GGGGGGCCAGGGTTATGCGGGGGGCGGAAAGGGTAAGGGTATTGGGGGGGGGGCTAAAAGAGGAAGGGGGAGGTGCGAGAAGGCTTGAAAGGAGTGGGCATGAGAAAGGTGAGGATGGAGCAAGTCTTGTGTGAGGGCACAGGGGAATGGGGGCAGAGAGTGGTGAGGGGGTGGGAAAAAGAGGGCAGTAAGGGAAGGGGGAGGCACCAGGAGGGTGCAGGGCTAAAGGAAGGTGCAGGTGCCAGAGGATTCTGGGGGTGAAGCAGAAGGGCAGACACTTGCATGGGAGGGACCAGCACCAGAGGAGAGAGGCAGGGGGCAGGTGTGTAGAGGGAGGTGTTAGAAGAGAGGATGAGGAGGGGTAGCTCACATGATCAGAGTGGGGCTACTGGAGGGATGGGCAGCGGGGGAGAGAAGGGCTGGTGAAGGGGGAAGGTCGCAGGAGAGCTGAGGGCAGCTAGAAGGGCAGAAGTCAGGACAGCAGAGGAGGGTGAGAGGTTGGGGGGCAGCAGGCACCAGGGGAGCTGATGGAGCAAGGGGAGAAGACATGGCAGCAGAGAGAAAAGGTAAAGGTTTATAAAATATTTATTAATAACTTGGATGCCACATCCGAACAAGCCACATGAACTCAGTACTGGTACACAACACAAAATTCATTCTGCTAATGGGAAGAAACTCTTAGGCTATGTCTACACTGGTGGCTTCTTGCGCCAGAAGTCTTATGCAAGAACACGTCCACATTGCCATGTGCACGCTGTGCTTTTGCACAAGAGCATCCATGGCAGTGTGGACGCTTTCTTGTGCAAGAAACCTCCGATGGCCATTTTAGCCATAGGGGTTTTTTGCGCCAGAAATCCCTGCCGAGCATCCACACTGCCCTCTTGTGCAAGAGAGCTTACAACTGTTAGAAAAGAGCGTAGCTCTTGTGCAAGATGCCCTCTCTTATCACGCCATACTGTAAATTTCCTTGCGCAAGAGCAGGCGGACAGTGTGGCTGCTCTGTGGGGTCTTGCGCAAGAAGCCGCGAGTGTAGACATAGCGTTAGAGGGAACCCTCCCCCCAGCCTCTCTGCCCCTGAGTTAATGTCACACACATTGGGTTAATGCAATTGCAGGATAGTTGCATGAGGGGGGGTTGGTGGGGGCCAAACTAATCCTTGTTGGATGGTGGGAAAAATCCTTTGAGAGGGGTGACGACACCTTTTACTTCTGGTCATGTGTCCATCTTGCCCCGAGCATCTTCCCTCCAGAGGCATGTTTAACGGGGGTCAGAGAGCATGGTTAACAGGGGTCAGAGGTTGTGGCTAATGGAGCACCACCAAAAATTATACAAACCTCCCTCCCCTGATCCCACAAGACTCCTCCCTGAGCCACTCCAGCACATGAGAGGATTGGGACAACCCCCTTCATTTCCCCACGGTCCAGTCCCAGTATCCCTCCATCTTTGCTTTGCCCTCTCTGTGCCTCTTCCCCCAAACCATGTCTCCTTCAGTGCTGCAGCCTGGGGACAGGCAGGAGTCTGTCACCAGTAGCAGGGGTTGCTGCCCCCAATCCCTCCCCCCCCCACACACACACACACATTCATTGGCAGCAGCAGGAGAAGTGGAACAATATGGCCCCAACTTGCTTGGCTCCCAATCACATTGCTCCATTTCCCGCCAGTGAGTGCTCTTCAGCGCATCACTCAGGAGGGACCATCCCCACTCTCACTGGCAGGACTCAGAGGAGTTGCGATGAAGAGGCAGAGAGAGGGACAGAGCAGGCATGGGCAGAGTTGGGGCCTGGGGCGGAGGGGGGCTGTTGCGGCTTTCACATGGGCTAGTGGTGGTGCAGGGAAGAGTTACGTGGGGGGAGGGGGGTATCATGTGGAAACATGGCCCAAAATGGTAGGCTTTTTCATAATATTTTTAATTAGCCATATTAATTTAAACATTTTGTATGCTGATGTAAGTAATAGAGGATAGTCCTAGCAGTCTGGTGAATAAACCATTTTGTTACTAATGTGGCAGTACAGAGAACATTTATAGCATCATTGTCAGATATTCCTTTACAACGTATTATAATGAATGTTTGTTTTCTTCTTGCAGGCTTCTGGCTGCGATGGTACTGAGATCCCAGATGAAGTGAAACTGATTGGGTTTGCTCAGCTAAGTGTCAGCTGATGCCTGTCCCTCGACACCCCTCCCCACCCCCAGCAGAATTGTGAGATTGTGAGGAGGCCAGCTTAGATGCAAAGAAAATTAAAGCACCCACACTGAATTCTGCTTCGTTCTCTAGCAATTCACTAAGTCAGAGGAAGCAAAGCCCTCAGCTACACCGCTGCTGCTAACATTCAAAATGCTACTAAATGTTTCTAATCAATTTGGATTTCCCCTATGTGACAAGCATATGGAAATGCACTCAGGTGGCTGTATTTATTGGTTACAAAAGGAATTTTCTATCAAATTTATTTCAGCTTTCATAAAATTTCAGTGATACTGTTTTAATTATCTACTTCTGATTGGCAATACCATCTCTGTTCTGTTGTACTTAGAAATGAACATAATTATTAAAGTTAAAATTCATTAGCCAAACTTGAATTCTAGTTTTAAAACTGACTGTGAATTTTATTTTTCATATATTTATGCATTACATAACCTAGCTATAAGAAAATGACTGATATGATTATGTGCTATTTGCAGTTAATCTCTTTTTGGGGGAAAATAAGTTTCAGGTATATCTTGGAAGTATTTGTAACTTCTAGTTTTTGAAATGATTTAATTATGAGTTTAGGAAGTGCTTGTTGGTTTGTGTGTCTAAAAACCAATCCACAATCTGATTGTCAGGGGTGTGGGAGGTGCCTTGCAGACATGGATGTTTTCAGAATGTGCCTGAGGCTGCTTAAATCTAGAATAGTCTCAGTTCTAGAAGCACCGTATATATTTATCTGAGTTACAATGGGGTATACTGTAACAAAGACTTTAGACAAGTTTGGCCTACACAGAGCTTTGTTGGGGAGTCTAAAACAAGAATTGCTATAAAATATTGCCATTAAGCTAGACTGCTTACTGTGCCCATCTCTGATTTGGTTTATCCTTAAGCGATATAAATTATTTTGTAAAGTTGAGAAAACTTGAACAGAATCCAAGCGTTACTTGAAATTCTGCAAAATACCAAGGTGGAGTGAAATAATAGAAAAAGGGGTTTGTGCAATGACTAAAAGATAAAATTTTGTAACAAAAGAAACACTTCTGACCCAAGTAATCTTTATGCTTAATCTGTGACATAGCTATTATGGAGCTAGTAAATGTTAGAATGATTCTGAAATTTGGAGCATATGTTCAAGGAGGTATATTCCTTGGATGTTACCATTTAAACTACTTCCTAGCTAAAACTAGATAAATGGCAGCTCTTTAATGTACTGAAAATGGCAAATATATATTATTAAGAAAAAGTTATTTATAATGCCTTGTCATAATTGTTGGGGTGTTCTAGAGCCAATTGCATAAAACTCAGTGTAATTTCATTCCATTTTATTGTTTACACAATTATTCAAAGATGACTGCAAAGGTAAAAGGAAAATAAAAGTGTTGCACAAATAGATTGCGTAATGGGTTTCCTTGATCTGTGTATTGTGCACTTTACAGTTGTAATATAGCAAATAGCTCTCTCTCTCAAAAAAAAAACTGTGTTCTTTAGTACGCTTCTAGAAAATGCCACCTGTAAAAGAAACCAGATCCATAAAGGTTAGAAGAAGAAATGGAAAAAAAATGTCATTATCTTCTCCTGTCCATCTGCCTGCAATGAGGGATTGCTCCCTACTACTCGGTGTTCAGTGCTTTCTCTAATCTAGTATTGAAAGTATCAAGTGTTGAGGCAGTACTTGTGAAGGAGGCAACAATGAGTGCAGAACTGAAACTGTGGAACTACCTTCTCAAGGTGTTTTGAATCAGAATAAGGAAAGTGCTTGGGGAGAGAGTACGGTTTGACAGGAGATGTAATTAAGAAGTATCAGTAATGGAGGAAGGGAGGTTCTATTGAAATAGGAGTAAACTAAAAGGGGAAATTATAAACCCATCTGGCTCCTGATGAAGCACTTCTCATGCTTGTAATGCTGTGAACAGATCATTAGTTACTAAGCAAGAGCAAAAGTCTTCAGATACATGAGCAGTGATTGCACTTAATAATTCTTGGCACATACAGCATCTTGGGTTTTTAAAGTACTGAATAATTATTAACTAATTTTTCCTGTGAAAATAGATGGGTAACCTTCACTTTACATAAAAATTATGTTTAGGGAGGCTTGCTGCTTGCCCAAGGCTACACCAGAAATCAGGATTAGAAATTAGAAATTCCATGCTGCCCTAAAGAATCCAGGGAGCAAGCTCAGACACCACAATAATTGTGGTATGTAAGTGGCTAGACAGGAAAAATATAATACATGATGAAGTAGAGGACAGTATCCTAGAAGGGGGAACCTATTGTATTGCTGCTTATTAAAGATATGTGGTAGAAGCACGAAAACTCTTTAAAAGTTTCCCTGGATACAAAGAAAAAGCTGGTCTTAACTACAGAAGATAGCTTCTTTGCTTTATTACAGTTGCATTAAAGTGCTTTTTGCAAGTACCAAAGTACTGTGTGTAAAGTAGCACCCACAACAACAAAATGCATGTAGAAGAAAAGTAACTCTAGGGGGAAATAACAGCTTTACAACTAGCTCAATGTATCTCAGAGGGCTGCGGGCCACTGGCCCGTGCCACCTTGTTTACCTAATCGCTCCTTAGCCCCTGAGCCTTGTGGCTCCCATTGGCTCTGGTTTGCTGTTTCTAGCCAAGAGGAGCTGGGAGAAGTGGCTTCCTGTGGCTTCCCTTGACTGGAATCAGTGAACCTGAGCCAATGGGAGCCGTGAGGCTCCATGGCTTCCGTTAGGTAAATAAGGTGATGGGAGCCCACTAGCAATTTTCCAAAAGCAGGCCTGTGGCCCACATTGAGAAACATTGATCTAGTCAATATTAATCTCATGAGGCAGATTACGGGGCCAAAACTGTCAGTTAACAATATTCATATATAAACAAAATTAGCAAGTTACTTGGTGCTCCAAGTTAGCAAACAGGAAAAAAAAATGCTTACTGTGGAGATCAGTGTGCACCTTCTGTGTAGGAATATAAACAGAAACCACAATGGAATTCCAGAGTGAAGGACCATTAAATACTGCATTCAGATACTTCCGATGAATATAGAGAGGAAAAGAAAACTAGTGATTGTTACATGAGCAGTTTTCCATGAGAAATGACCAAGACATAGATGCAACTTTACACTGCAATGATGTATGTCCCGAGAGTAGTCATCAGTGCAATTTGCAGGAGTTCATCAGACAGTAATTACATGTCTAGTAAGGGATGGAGAGAATCTGGTTACATTCAAAAGGAGAAATGTCTTGTTAATTAGATTAACTCGGAACTGGTGAGCTACTGTATAGCTATCTGTGAAACCAGGGAATGGGACTTATTGGAGAGATTACTAGTGTTTTGGCAGCGATGATTATATGCCACCATTTACATATTTGCCCTTGTAAGAATTATTTGTTCATTTAAATGTCTGTGGAACTTGCCATTTCAGTGCACTTTTATTTCCAGTGTTGAAAGCAGCTTTCATTTTGGGCAGGGATTGAAGCCAGTAGATGAAAAACAAATTGTCTGCCCACTGCTGTAAAAGGATGAACATATAACCCAGTTCATCACTAAACTGACCTCAATTCTGGTGAGCAGTTGTTAGCTGATATTCAGCTAAAAATATACTAGTGAGGTAAATAGAGTCAGGGTGGAATTTTCATTCTCTTAACAATCAGGATGTGAAATATTCAATATATTTAATCTTAGGCTTCCACTTCTTTTCTTTGTGCCTCTTCCCAGCAGCTACTAACCTTTGCTTCTACTATTTCCTTTTTTTTTTTTATGTTGAGTGAGACAGACCTTACCCCTTACCCAAACTTTATTAGAGGTTTTGCACAACTTCCTGGTATATGACTCCAATATATACTATAGTTCTGGGTTTCAAACCTGCATTGTGTAGCTACTTTTCCCAGAAGCCTCAAGCTGCTTCCTGTAAGGGCATCCAGAAACAGGGGCCTAAAAAGGACAAAAGTAGAAGAGAGGGAGGCAAGTGCTGACCAAAAGCCATAGTCCCTTTCTCCTGCTACCATATCCACTGGATCCGCCACTGTTTGTGTAACTGGCTAATCTTGATGGTATTTGACAACCTAGGACAAGCATCCCAAGGGTTATAACTTGAACAGATCCTGTTTTTATTCCCCTAGGATTGGAAATGAAGAGGCTCCTCTGCAGTATGCTCTAAAACAACATTATTTTCCTAAGAAATTGATCAGTATGTGTAACTTGTAGATGGGACTCCCTCATTTCTCTCACTCTGACCCTACTAATCAGAGGCTTGTTTTCCTTTCCATTGGCTAGTCCCACATACTGATGTTGGATGTGAGGCAAGTTTGTGCCTGAAATCAGTCATAATGATGATTAGTCTGACATAGACCTAAACAAAAAAAAAAAATCTGCTAATTAAGTGTGGTGAAAATACAGATTCTGTTTAGCAGGGAAGAATTTTTTTTTAGAGTTCTTCAAAGCTCAAAAAATGTGAGACCTTGTTGGTAATTAAAAATATTCATCAGAGTAAGCAATTCTTTGAGGGTGGGGGGAGAGAAGGAGAGGTTAGGTCAGTTCCAATACAAGTTAGGTTGATTGTGGAGATTTTTCACAGCACCAGGTGGCCAGTTCACAGAGCATCTTGCAGTGTTTCCACACCCAAGTGCAAACACTACTATAGTGCTCGTCTTAAAGGGAGAAATTGGCAGACAACTTCTGGGATGAATGTCTCTGATCTCCCTATGCTAATGAGCTGACAGAGCAACTATAGTTCCTCAAACCAGCTAAAACCCCCACCAGCAAAAATCTCTTTACTTGCATTTTATTATACGATGGTCCAATTGGTTAAATATCCAGACTTAATAGCTGAGTATTGTGACATGTTAGTAATTCATTTTGTCACTGTGAATAAACCCAACACTACAGTGTACATAAAAATGTGGTTTTATGGCTGCTTTATGATTATTAGATGGCTGCTTGTCAAACTGTTTGCACACACTGAAAATAATCTGAGGTGTTGAATCAAACCCAATAGCTGAGAAGTAAAGAATTTCATAATCTTCATAAGCAGTGCTGCATGAAGTAGATTAGATATTAAAGGAAGTTATTCATAAAATGTTATGGCCATAAGCAAGAAGATTTAGTTTTCACTGCATGGACCAAATGAGAGGTAATAATGTCCTTCTTAGGAAGGAAGTCCATGTAGTGCCTTGCCATCTAATCTACAAACATGAATTTGAAAGGCTGTGTTAATCTGCTGTGTCAGTGGAATGAAGAAAGCCATTAGGGCAGATGAATGTGTTTATGTGGGGAAACAGTGAAGGTTTTTTTATTCAACATATTAATTTTTCTCCTCTATCCTTCTATATCCCACAATATTTAAAGTGCAAATATTCTGAATGAAAGGTATCTGCTTCCCTTCCATCTGACAAAGACCTGTAACTAGAAAGGGCTTCAAGGACTGAATTATTTGATTCTTTCCCACTATTGTAAAAGAAAAGCATAATTCACTAGAGTGTCACTGCTCAAATATGAAAAGCTTTAAAAATAAAGGCCCTCTCTAATAGTTTAAATTACTGCGTGATAAGTGGTTCTGTTCTGTCTTCCCAGTTCACCTGCTCAAAACACTGTAGGTACTTACTAGAGCATGTAAGTTTCTACTTCCTAATTTTTTGGAGGATGAATGACATGCGGCCTCTCGAGTGAAAGGGATTTAAGGTAATCATGAGGTTATATCTAGTCTTGGCTCTCTGAAAAACACCTAACTTTGTCATCTGAAATGAAATGTTTACAAAAGCCATCGGTACATGTGTGACTTAGTGGATGTGGATGGGAAAGAGCTGTTTCTTAAACTGCTTTCAAATGAATAGGTACAGTGATCTTATATTCCAGTTGCAAAACATTTTTTTTCAGCTTCCACAAAATATCAGTGCTAGAACTGGAATATGATTCTAAGCAAGATGTCTGCCTCTTTGGAATCTGAAAAGCTCAAGAGAGCTTATTTTGAGTCCATTTGGGAACACCTACACAGCAGGGCTAAAGTCGAATTCAGCAATACAACTTCAGCTATGTCAATTGCGTAGCTTAAGTCAAAATGACTTAATTTGGCTTTTGGTGCTGTCTACATAGCAGGAAGTTGAATGAGGGTTACCGTGTTTTTGGGTCAACTGAAAACTGTCATCTTACCAACTATTGCAATAGTTTATAATCGATAGATGCATTTTATCTGTGAAACAAAAATATTCACAACCACTTTTTAACTTCAAAAAAGCAGTCATGTAGCACTGTAAAGACTAATCAAATAGTTTATTAGGTGATGAACTTTCGTGGGGCAGACCCACTTCTTCAAATGGGTCTGTCCCATGAAAGCTCATCACCTAATAAACGATCTTGTTAGTCTGAGCTTGGTAAAACAAAAAAGGACCTTAAAGACTAA